TAACACTTGTCCTACTTTCCTACCCCTGTGAGCTGTTAATACTTGCCCTACTTTCCTACCCCTGTGAGCTGTTAAGGTGGCTCCACACATCGTCATCAGCGTCCATTTTCGTGACGTACTTCCGGAAAAAGTACAGCTAGGACTCAATTTTCTTGATCGAAATGTGCATGTACGACGTGTCGTCATTTCCGTATTGCGTATCGGGCATTCATTATCGTAGTGCAAATTATAACAACACCTGGGCCGTTTTCGTTTAAATGGTCAAACCGATCGGACCACTGTTGTTCGTTTATTAAATAAGGTCAGACCTAGTAATCTGATATTGCTTTCAGGCGAGCCTTGAAAAAGCCTTGCAAGGCCTGCATACACATTTGCATGTCCGCCAGGATTTATACCCGAAATTGTTACATTTATAAATGGTTAAACCGGTTGTTCCACGAACAGGCCCCTGGTAAACAATAGTACACGTGCGTGCCGATGATATGTAAACACCCGAAAGGGTTCAAATTTAAGCTCGCATACTTGCGAAAAGCGAGTGCAAATTGCAAACTGCGAGTAGAGATTTCAGACACCAGCATTTTTTTGCAAGTGAAAATTTTGGGCTGAATAATCCTCATTTCTAATGGTCGGTCTTTACAAATTCTTTCTTTGACAACTCGCGGTCATTTAGGCGTATTCTTGTCATTCGCCGAACGAATGATTCAGCTTTTGTCATTAAAGGAAGTTTACAATCGATACATGTCCCATGCGCATGTCTGTTAGGAAGTACCTGCACAAATAATGATGACGTTTACCGCATGTATGATGTTTTTCGGTAATCTATTTTTAGTTACTATTTATAGTGCAAATACGATAGGCTTGACTAGTCACGTGGTTGTATTGGGGTTTCCCAAGGTTAAATTTCACAGCTCGCTGCACCGGCAAAATAACAAATGGACAAGTTTTTGAAAAGACCAAGCACGAGCAGTGCAGAAGCCGATGAATAAAAGGCAAACGTTGAGTTGAAAAAGGCTTCATCCAAGGGTGTATCTGCCAGCCTAAGGCTTCGTCCAAGGGTGTATCTGCCAGCCTAAGGCTTTGTCCAAGGGTGTATCTGCCAGCCTTTGGCTTTGTCCAAGGGTGTATCTGCCAGCCTAAGGCTTCGTCCAAGGGGGTATCTGCCAGCCTAAGGCTTCGTCCAAGGGTGTATCTGCCAGCCTAAAAACTGTAAAAACATGGATGAAGGAGTTCAATACTGATCTCGAGTATGATGGTGAAGGTGACAATGTGACAAAAATTGTCTGCAAAACGTGCAAGTCATTTGCACCAACAAACATGTCCTCTAATGTAAGTCATTCATGAAAACTAATTAGCTATTAATTTGAACTTTTAACAGCTACTATAGTGATAGGATCAGATGTTTGGTAAACTAAAATTTGTTGACTTTGAGTTGAGAGGCACATACATAAGGTCGGTCAAAAGCTATGACATAGCTTATGTTTTCTAGATCTAATGTTGTTATTATATGACATTACCGACTATAAATAAACTTTGTATTGTATTATATTATCCTGTATAAGTTCAAAACAAAACCTCTTACAGTAGATTCTAGAATATTTTATTTTAATGACGCCTACATTGAAATGTAAAAAATGTCTGAAGTAGAATTTTTTTTTCAGTTTGTTTCTGGTAACACTACTGTCAAGAGGGAGTTGGCAATTAATACTGTGTTGTTTTAGAATTTAATTCAAAGTTAACATGTCTAATAAAGTTGGAAAAATGCAAATTGCAAGTTGTTTTCTCATTTAGCAAGTAAGAAAAAATACCACTTGCGAAAAAATGCAAGTAGAAAATCTGGTTAATTTCGAACCCTGCCCGATATCGAGATTTTACCGGGAAATGTATAATCACACGTACTTTAGGAATAAAGCTTTCCAATTTATAGACATAAACAGACTCACGGGAAGACAGTGACATGAGACCAGACGACCTCAAGAAGGTCATGTTGGAAACACATGGAATGCAGACGTACCGACCTCACATGTGCATATCACGTACTTACAGGAGTTCATAAGCTCGAGGTCGTAACGATTTTACTGTTGAGGAAGTTTCGCTCTGTCGATTAAATCGTGTTTACAAATGTAGTCTACTTACTCTGTAAAAATAATGTTTTGTAAAATATCAAGATACCTATGAAATGCATGTGAGAGTGCACGTGAGAACGGCATACCATGCGATAGCCACTGGTCACATATGTACCTGACATGTAAATTTTATAAATATACTGTAAGTTAGCGGACTTTGGAATGATGTCCAAAGTGTACATGACTGAGGGTAATTTGGTTCCATTAAAGAACAATAAATTGATAATTTTGATATCATATTTTTTATTTATTTCCATCATTTTTAGCTCACCTGGCACAAAGTACCAAGTGAGCTTATGCCGTGACGCGGCGTCCGTCCGGCGTCAATATTTTACTTTAAACGACTTCTTCTTAATAACCGAAAGGCCTAGGGTGTCAATATTTGGCCAGAAGCAAATTTGGATAAAGGGCTACAAAGTTTGTTAAAATTAATGACCTTAACCTATTTTCAAGGTCAAAGAGGTCAAATACGGTATGTCAAAAACGTTAAACATCTTCTTCTCAATAACCGAAATGCCAAGGGAGATGATATTTGGCCAGTAGCATGCTTGGGTGTAGGGCTACCAAGTTTGTTCAAATGAATGACCTTCAATTATATTCAAGGTCACAGGGGTCAATTGTATTAAAAAACCTTTAAACAACTTCTTCTGAATAACCAAAATGCTCAGGGTGATGATATTTGGCCAGTAGCATCCTGAGATGAAGGGCTACAAAGTTTGTTCAAATGAATGACCTTGACCCATATTCAAGGTCACAGGGGTCAAATATGTTTAAAACTTTAAACGGCTTCTTCTGAATAACCAAAATGCCCAGGGTAATGAGATTTGGCCAGAAGCAAACTTGGATAAAGGGCTACAAAGTTTGTTAAAATAAATGACCTTCACCCATATTCAAGGTCACAGGGGTCAAATATGGTAAAACTTTAAACAACTTCCTCTGAATAACCAAAATGCCCAGGATAAATAATGATATTTGGCCAGTAGCATGCTGAGATAAAGGGCTACAAAGTTTGTTAAAATAAATGACCTTCACCCATATTCAAGGTCACAGGGGTCAAATATGTTAAAAACTTTTAACAACTTCTTCCGAATAACCAAAATGCCCAGGGTGATGATATTTAGTCAGTAGCATACTAGGATCAAGGGCTACCAAGTTTGTTTAAATGTATGACCTTTAATCATATTCAAGGTCACAAGGAGCAAATATGTTCAAAATATTTCAACAACTTGTTCTAAATAACCAGAAGGCTCAGGATGTTGATATTTAGTCAGTAGCATATGCTGGGATCAAGGATTACTTTGTTTGTTAAAATAAATGACTTTGACTTATATTCAAGGTCACAGGGGTCAAATTTGTTTAAAATCTTTAAACAACCTCTTCTGAATAACCATGGGTCCCAGGATGTTTATACTTTGCAAGTTGCATCCTGAGATGAAAGGCTATACAATGTGTTCAACATAATGACTTTGTTCGGCTTTCAATCACAGGGGTGAAATGTTTTAAAAAAAAAATAACGGGTCTTTTGAATGAATTTTAATCATAAATACTGATATTTTGCCTGTAGCTTTATTTTAGATCACTTTTAAGGTTACAAGTGTGAGTTTTATACCAGGTGAGCGATGCAGGCCCATTGGGCCTCTTGTTGTTATATGTAAACAGAGACAACTATCATTGTGTAAATGTCATCCCTCTGCAAAAAGTTTCGATTTTTTTCAAGGAAGATAACTATCACCCGGTTCAAATTAATGGAAAATGTAAAATAAATTAATTATAAAGCCATTGTGTATATTTTGATCAATTTCCCATTTTATATGTATAGATCTTTGTGTCCTGTTTGCTTTTAGCTTGTAGATAATCACTTTTATCTATACAAATTCAATAAAAAACACTTTGTGTAACATGTGTTACATATTTTGTGATAAATAAAATATTTTTAGGGTTAATTAGAAATGCTTCTTTTCATTTTATTATTGTTTTTATTGTTCCGAACAATGCCACACGCAAACAAAAAAAAAACCGGAAAATATTAAAATTGACGAAAATTCATTTTTGTGGTATTTTTTCCAAAAATGTCCCCAAACTATCGGAATGTTTAGATTTTCATAAAATCAACTCTTCATCGTTGCATAACCATTATATGAAAGTTTCAACGAATTTTGCTGGTTAATTGCGAAAGTGTGGAGCCACCTTAATACTTGCCCTTTTAATTCAGTACGTTTTTGCCCTACTTTCAAACCTCTGTGAGCGGCCGCCCTGCCTCCTTATCTTTGTTATGTTAGTGTACACCCTACCAACTCCTCTGAGTGCCCGCCCTGGTTCTTAACTCTGTAAGTGCCCGCCCTGGTTCTTAACTCTGTAAGTGCCCGCCCTGGTTCTTAACTCTGTAAGTGCCCGCCCTGGTTCTTAACTCTGTAAGTGCCCGCCCTAGTTCTTAACTCTGTAAGTGCCCGCCCTGGTTCTTAACTCAGTAAGTGCCCGCCCTAGTTCTTAACTCTGTAAGTGCCCGCCCTGGTTCTTAACTCTGTAAGTGCCCGCCCTGGTTATTAACTCTGTAAGTGCCCGCCCTGGTTCTTAACTCTGTCAGTGCCCGCCCTGGTTCTTAACTCTGTAAGTGCCTGCCCTGGTTCTTAACTCTGTAAGTGCTTGCCCTGGTTCCTAACTCTGTAAGTGCCCGCCCTACCTTGAGATTGCCTACAGCCTGAACCTCCGTGCTGTATAGCTGGGGCCTAAGCGTATGTACCAAAGCTTGTTCTCAGTGTTTCAATCCATTGATTTTTTCGGGGAGATGGTTTGCCTATTGTTTGGAGCGTGTTGATATAGTAGTAATGCATTACTCTAACCCACTCCAGGCATTCGACTAACACAACCACCAAACCCTATGTACTAATTACGTCAACTTTATTTCTGACCAGTTTTGGGGAGTTGGTATTTTCCCCGTCGTGCAAAAAGCCTTGAGTGGCCATCTTAATTTTTGTGTGTCTTTGCATATTCACTTATGGATCCAGTTTTCTGAAGTCTGTCAGATAACAGAAAAAGTGACGGATACACTTTAAAGCATCATCTTGGATTGTGGCGGAATCTGTCCTAATAGGGTTTAGATCCTACTGATTTAATTCCTTCTCTCCAAGAGGTATAGAGAAAAAAGGAGAAAAAGATAAAGCCAAACGGATCAGTGAAGAAATTGTTTTTAAGAACAGTGAAGCTTAAGTTAATTCCCATCTACTGACAAGAGTGGGCTTCTCTAGCTTGCACCGATTTTTTGTTGTTGCAATCTTTCTTTCTTACATTAACGCAGGATTTAGCGGATGAGACGAGGCTTGGGAAAATGGCTGAATAAGAGATCGCAGCGAATCCACTTTGACTTGTGATTGCACTGTTGGCGGGCACAGACTATTGATACTGCTGACGGTGAGTCAAGCCAAGCCATTATTTTATCTTCTATCTTTGTCAAAGATTTTGCAGTTTATCTAGTTATTTTCTGTTTAGCTAGAAAACATTGTTTAAGGATACTGTTTCATGACTTTTTAATCTGTGTGAATTTAACAAGGTAATGAAAATTGTATTGTACGGGTAATTAACAGATTGTTTTAGAGCAGTATGTATTTTTCAAAAAATTTGCTTAGACAGAGTAGTTTTTAGTGATCAAACATGCATGATAAACCAATTTGTATTGAAAATGGCTGCAAACAGACTCAAAATAAGCCCACGTTATCTAGTGAGTGTGGATTGTTATATCAGTAAATCCCAAGTTGACATACACAGGCAGCAGCCATTGGCCTAGACTTAAGGGTAAGAAACATTTGCATAATTGGGTGTATTATTGATGCTGTAGTTTGTTAAGTGGCATTTCTCCCGCATGGGGCACTGATAATTGATAAGATATCATTATTGAAAAAACTAGAAATGATACTGATTTTTAAAGGGATATGAATGGTGACTAAGTGACAAATTGGAAGTGCATGCAAATTTTTTCAGAGCTAACTCAAAACCTGGTCAGCTTATATTAAATTCATAATAACCTTAAATAAAATTGTGAAGAGACCTTTAAATTCTGAAAAATGCTGATATTTATGATTGAGATAAAATCCTTAGGGACTGAAATGTTGAGCAAACAAAAAAAAATGGATAATTTGAAAAATATTTCAAATATATGTCTCAGAATTTTGACATCATGAATTTTGAAGCTGACCAGGCTTTGGCGGTTTGAGCTCAGAACAGAACCTTCAGTAGTCATATTATAAATATTATGTGAATGGTCTACTAGACTGAATGTACAACAATACCGGTTTAAACTGATTTCCTCAACAGCTGTTGTTCAGAATAGAAGGTTTCTTAATTACACAGGTTTTAATTACATAAAATTACCTAAATTGTTTGTCCATGATAAGAGTCTGGTTTATACAGGTTTCCAGATTAAACAGGGGTTATGAAGACAATCCCAAATTTATCAAAATAAAGTAATTTAACCTGCCTTTACAAAACCCTTAGGAATCAGAAAGACTTTAAACCAGACATACAAAAATTATCATAACCACCAGCACCATGGTATACAGCACTGTTTGTATAGGCTAAGCCACCTGTCTACCACAGCACCATGGTATACAGCATTGTTTGTATAGGCTGAGCTACCTTTCTACCACAGCACCATGGTATACAGTATTGTTTGTACAGGCTGATCCACCTGTCTACCACAGCACCATGGTATACAGCATTGTTTGTATAGGCTGAGCTACCTTTCTACCACAGCACCATGGTATACAGTATTGTTTGTACAGGCTGATCCACCTGTCTACCACAGCACCATGGTATACAGTTTCGTTTGTATAGGCTGAGCTTCCTGTCTACCACAGCACTATGCTATACAGCATTGTTTGTATAGGCTGAGCCACCTGTCAACCACAGCACCATGGTATACAGCATTGTTTGTATAGGCTGAGTTTCCTGTCTACCACAGCACCATGGTATACAGCATCGTTTGTATAGGCTGAGCTTCCTGTCTACCACAGCCCCATGGTATACAGCATTGTTTGTATAGGCTGAGCTACCTTTCTACCACAGCACCATGGTATACAGTATTGTTTGTATAGGAGCTACCTGTCTACCACAGCACCATGGTATACAGTATTGCTTGTACAGGCTGAGCCACCTGTCTACCACAGCATCATGGTATACAGTATTGTTTGTATAGGCTGAGCTACCTGTCTACCACAGCACCATGGTATACAGCATTGTTTGTATAGGCTAAGCCACCTGTCTACCACAGCACCATGGTATACAACATTGTTTGTATAGGCTGAGCTTCCTGCCTACCACAGCACCATGGTATACAGCATTGTTTGTATAGGCTGAGCTTCCTGTCTACCACAGCCCCATGGTATACAGCATTGTTTGTATAGGCTGAGCTACCTTTCTACCACAGCACCATGGTATACAGTATTGTTTGTATAGGAGCTACCTGTCTACCACAGCACCATGGTATACAGCATCGTTTGTATAGGCTGAGCTTCCTGTCTACCACAGCCCCATGGTATACAGCATTGTTTGTATAGGCTGAGCCTCCTGTCTACCACAGCACCATGGTATACAGCATTGTGTGTATAGGCGGAGCCACCTGTCAACCACAGCACCATGGTATACAGCATTGTTTGTATGGGCTGAGCCACCTGTCAACCACAGCACCATGGTATACAGCATTGTTTGTACAGGCTGAGACACCTGTCTACCACAGCACCATGGTATACAGTATTGTTTGTATAGGCTGAGCTACCTGTCTACCACAGCACCATGGTATACAGTATTGTTTGTATAGGAGCTACCTGTCTACCACAGCACCATGGTATACAGTATTGCTTGTACAGGCTGAGCCACCTGTCTACCACAGCACCATGGGATACAGCATTGTTTGTATAGGCTGAGCTACCTGTCTACCACAGCACCATGGTATACAGTATTGTTTGTACAGGCTGATCCACCTGTCTACCACAGCACCATGGTATACAGTTTCGTTTGTATAGGCTGAGCTTCCTGTCTACCACAGCCCCATGGTATACAGCATTGTTTGTATAGGCTGAGCTTCCTGTCTACCACAGCCCCATGGTATACAGCATCGTTTGTATAGGCTGAGCTTCCTGTCTACCACAGCACTATGCTATACAGCATTGTTTGTATAGGCTGAGCCACCTGTCAACCACAGCACCATGGTATACAGCATTGTTTGTATAGGCTGAGTTTCCTGCGTTTTATTTCATAATGTAAAGGAAACCTATTCTATCTGAAGCCTGTCTAGCTGGACCAGAATAGATCTCCGTAGGAGTTTGTTCAGACAAGTTGTACTGTAGTGTATGTATAAAAATCACCAGCCCACCAAAGCACAGGAGCAAGGATCCATTATATGTCTTTAGCTATTTTGAAATACAACCGTGCCATCTGTCTAAAAGAATTTGACAGGGAACAAAACTTTCTTTTCAAATTATACAAGTTTTCAAATTATACAAGTTCAATATACATAGAAATGTATTCGGTGATACTATACAGGTATCTAGATTATACAGGTTCTACTTTATACAGAGTGCAGTTTACACAGGTAATACATGCTTTTGGCTGATTCCTCCTGTAATAAAGCTTAAATTTGCTCTCATAGATATAACTTATCCAAACATTTGATGGAGGTCAGGAAAGATGGCAGTGATTTCCATTTCAGCATGCAGTGGTACCCATTTGCACAACTGCACTAAAATTGCTATGATAACTGTGATCAGTTGTTTGACCTTCTACCACTGAGCCACATATCAATGGTACATGATACCTAAAAGGCTTTCCTTTAATTATCTCAATGCAAATGGTCTACACTATATCTTGAAACAGTTCAGTCCATTTGTGGTCCAACCACCTCAACCTGCAAAAGGAAAGCTTCCAGTATCTCTGTAATATGAAATTTTCAACCATAGGATGCAACTGAGGTTCAGTCAAAGGTGGACTGTCAGTACAAGTGCCACTGAGGTTCAGTCAGAGGTGAACTGTCAGTGCCACTGAGGTTGGGTCAGAGGTGAACTGTCAGTGCCACTGAGGTTGGATCAGAGGTGAACTGACAGTGCCACTGAGGTTGGGTCAGAGGTGAACTGTCAGTGCCACTGAGGTTGGATCAGAGATAAACTGTCAGTGCCAATAGAGTTATAGGTAGTTTACTTTTAATCATGAGGTGTGTACAGTTTACGGAAAGCTGCCAGAAGATTGTAGTATTAGCACATGCAAACGATTGCATGACTGTTAGATTTTCATTGTCCTACTGGCTTATCACTAGTCCAATCAGGAGAGTTCTGCCAAGATTTGTGATAGTAAAAATGCTGATCCAAGGTGAGGCTTATAAGGTCATAAGGTCACAGTTCGCTGAGGTCAATCTCTCCTACTACTACTACTCCTCAGGGTCATTATTTGTAATGGTTAATGACACGTACTGTGGGGTGGACAGTGTAATGGCAGTTCCAAAAATATCCTCCAAACCCAAAGGAGTTTTCGACACTGACTAATTAGCTTGGTAGTAGTCGTCTGATGGACAGATACATTTTGTAATGTCTGGACATGGTAAGTACTGCCTTGCTGCGCTGTAATGGGTCAGTGTTCCTAATGGCAGGTCTCAGACTTACACAGATTTATGTTCCCCAAGAAACTGAATCTCGGAACCATGAATTATAGCTGAAGAGTAGAGAGCACTGGAGGTTGAAGCTATCATTGGGTAGAGGGAGTAAGGTTCTTCTGGTACTAACCAGATATCATTGGGTAGAGGAGTAAGGTTCTTCTGGTACTACCCAGATATCATTGGGGAGAGGGAGTAAGGTTCTTCTGGAACTAACCAGATATCATTGGATAGAGGGAGGAAGGTTTTTCTGGTACTAACCAGATATAATTGGGTAGAGGGAGTAAGGTGCTTTGGGTATGAACCAGATATCATTGGGTAAAGGTAGTAAGGTTCTTCTGGTACTACCCAGATATCATTTGGTAGAGGGAGTAAGGTTTTTCTGGTACTAACCAGATATCATTGGATAGAGGGAGTAAGGTTCTTCTGGTACTAACCAGATATCATTGGATAGAGGGAGTAAGGTTTTTCTGGTACTAACCAGATATCATTGGGTAAAGGGAGTAAGGTTCTTCTGGTACTAACCAGATATCATTGGGTAGAGGGTGTAAGGTTCTTCTGGTACTTACCAGATATCATTGGGTAGAGGGAGTAAGGTTCTCCTGGTACTAACCAGATATCATTGGGTAGAGGGAGTAAGGGTCTTCTGGTACTAACCAGATATCATTGGGTAAAGGGAGTAAGGTTCCTCTGGTACTAACCAGATATCATTGGGTAGAGGAAGTAAGGTTCTCCTGGTACTAACCAGAAATCATTGGGTAGAGGGAGTAAGGTT